TAAGAAGGCCTAGAAAACTATCCTTTTATGTTCTTGAAAGCTGGCCACCTACTACCTAAGAATTTCAACTACCCTGAAGAGAAAGGTCATATGAAAAAGCCCTGGAGGGGGAGACACGTTGTGGAGAGAGGCCTCATGGAACAGCACAGGAGCACAGTTAGGTGTACAAGCTGGCCCTCTGGAGGATCCAGCCCAGTGGAGGCCCCAGGCCTCAATCCTTGGCTGCCATTTGATAGCATCTCTCTTTGCATTAAGGGTTTGCCAACACAGACCAACAGAAGAACTGCCCAGCTGAGCTCTGTGCACTCATAGAATCCTATGAGATGAGTTCTGGGGTGTTTTGTTACCTAGCAATAGAGAAACCATTCTTTCTTTCAGTGTCCATAGCACAGTCCACCAACTCCCTCAGCCACTCCTAGACCTGAGCCATATAATCACCTGAGCCCAAAATGAGAGAAGAGAGGAAAGAGAGGAGATCAAGTTCAAGGATCACAAGTCATTTCCACAGACCTAGAGCCCTACACAAAGGGAGATTTGCACCAGCCCTCGGATGGGTGTAGACACAGCCCCCTGGTGGAGGGTGGGTAGAGGAGGGAGGCTGACTCTCCATCCCAGAGACTTGGTGTGGTACCAGGACAGTCCCAAGGGCTTGTCAGGCCCAGGCTAGAAGTTCTAACTAAGCTTAGGAATTCTTATGGCCTGCTCTTACTTTGGAGAAAAGTCAGGGACCTGGAGAATCATGTAAGAACTCAGTAGAAGCCTCTCCTCCCCCAGAGATTTGGGGAAAGGATTTTGGAGGGATAATAAGATTGGAGTACAAACATAACAGAATTTTCCTTTAGGTGACGCTAAGATCCATGCCAGAGGGACTAGTCCTGAGAGGTACTGATATGGTATGAATGTGCTCTCCAGGAGTGGGTATTAGAAAGTCAACATTCAAATGTAACAGTATTGGGCAGTGTTTAGGTTATGAGGGCCTCACCCCATAAATGGATTGATGTCGGGTGTAAAAGGGCTGAGGCTGCAGAATCAAGCACCTGTGCTCTTGCTTTCTGCCTTCCTCTATGGGATGATGCAGCAAGAAAACCTTCACCAGATACCGGCAGCATCATATTGGAGTCCATATTTGGTCTTCAGGACTGAGAACTAAGTTTCTTTTATAAATTACCTAGCTGGTGGCATTCTGTTATGAAAATTCAAAATGGACTAAGACAAACACTAACAGACTTATGACATTACTTGTTAGTGGAAGGGATGCAGCCAGCATGCTCCACAGCCTCCTGCCTATCCTCACAACTGATGTTAGCAGAGTCAATCACTCCTCCTCCTTGTGGCTGAAGGCACCATCAAGAAAGACTTCTTCAGCTGCTCTGTCTAAGGGCCTTTATATACCCCAGCCAGTTCTGGGTGTTAGCTGCTTGGCCTTGTGATGGTTTGGATGTTCTCCAGAGGCCCATAAGCTAAAGATTCAGTCACCAGCCTGTAGCCCACATATGGGGTGGTGGAACTCTTAGGAAGTAGGTCCTAGTGGGAGGAAGTTAGATCACCAGGGCTGTGCCCTTGAAGGGGATCCAGAAGGCTCCTTGCTCCCCATCCTGGACACCTTGAGGTGAGCAGCTCTGTTCCCGTTTGCTCCCTGCCAAGATATTCTGCCTTACCTCAGGTTCAAAATTACCAAAGCCATCATCATGCTTGTTGGTACACACTTTTAATCCCATCGCCCTCAAGGCAGAGGCAGGTAGATCGCCATGAGTTCATGAGTTCGAGTTCCAAGCCAGCCAGAGTTACATGGTAAGACCCTGTCTCAAAAAAACCTTCGAAATTAAGAGCCAAAAATACAGCTTTCCTCCCTACAAGTTTTACCAAAGGCATCTTGCCACAGTGCACAGTGATAGAAAGCTGACTGGCTTAGGCATCATCCCTCTTCTAGGAATAGGTATGCTGTAAAGGGCTATTCCACACCCTAGTAGCCAAGATACCTGGGCCAGAGTCTTTGGGCATACCAGGGCCTTCATGATTCTCTAGAGTCCATCTTCTAGAAGTAAGGTATCTGATGTTCTATTTTGTCATGTCTTAGGAAACCTGACCAAAGAGATTTCACCAATGACCAGATCCTCCCCAACCTGACCTCCACTGAAGGCTGGCCATCCCCAAGGCAAATCCAGCAGGATTCTCGGGGCAAGCTCCCAATTCCCCTCCATGGTGTGTGCAAAATCAGGCCTCCTTCTTCCTCTTTCTTCACCTGAACCCCAGATGAAGAATGATCCACAGAGAAGTCCATTTTGCACATACTTGTCGGTGCCTTGCCCTCCACTAAGACATGGCTTCCTAGTATCACTCTTTCCACCAGAGGGTGAAAGGGACACTAGGTGAGGGGTATACCAGTGCTATTCTCAGCTGGGTGCCCACCACCCCATCCCTCCCCCAGGGGGCTGAGGGGGTTCATTCTGTCTAGACTTGCTTCCCCTACAGCTTCCTGGCCTTCTGAACTCCACACCCACAAGGAGCCACCATCAGGTACCCTAGTGTCCTGGTTTCCTGAGGTCTCAGGATTCTATATACCTGCTACACTCTCTATCCACTTGCCACTCCCTTGGAAACTCTGCTTTCCCAGGTTCACCAGTCTGTGAGGACTCAGCTCATCCCATTGTGTGTCTTCTATTCCTTCCCTGGCCTCAGCCTAGTGGTCCAGCTGTTTCACACTGGAGGATCCCAGATACCAAGAGCCTGATCCCCGCCCTGTTGGCCTGAAAATCATCCTATTCAGTATGGGGGGCCATGGGGCCAAGTCTATCCCTGCCTCCACCTGCAGGAAGACCAGCAGGGATGCTCCAGGTTGTCCCAAGATGCAGCCATCCTCCTTTCAGCCCATTAGGGATGCTGCCACCAACATGGTAACGACAGGGCTGGTATACAGCATTTTACATCCTTCCTTCACTGACCTTTCAACACAGCTGATCCTAAGCAAGTGGGTTTCAGAAATGGGCAGCCTGAGCTGTTAGTCCCGTGTGCAACCACCACTCCTTAAGTGGCAGACTGACTTGTCTCACACTATCATGTCTTCTCTAATCAGTAAAATGTGGACCATGCCGGGTATTGTGGCACAGACATGTATTCCCCCACAGAGAAGGCACAGGCAGGAGGACTCCAGGTTTAAAGCCAGCCCAAGCTATACAGCAAAACCATGGCTCAAAACAAATAAAGTTTCCTAAGCTGAGGACAGCAGCTCACTTTCACAGAGCTGTCAGGGGAACATGCCACAACTAGTGCCTGGTGTTGGTACTTTGAGAGTAGAGATCTCAGTGGCACTGTTCACACAGGACACTTTCAACGTAAGATGCTACTAGTAATAGATGGGAGGGGTCTGAAAGATCTCTAGGTACCAAATTCTGTAAGTGTCAGGGGATATGACAGACATATCTAAGTCATACCAGACGATAATTCTCCTTCGTTCCCTCGACCTGTCCACCCTCCCTTTCAGCTCCACTCCTCCCCAGCCCCACCCCACCCTGAAAAAACAGAGCTACTCTGTTCTTACTAACGACCACCCAAAACGGATAGCTGAGTGCAGCCAACAACACTCCTCACCAGACAACCACCAGGCAAATTTCTACATCAGTATTTCCTGGGGAAATGTGGACGCCAAAAGAACTCTTCAAATGTATGTCTCTCACAGGGCTTTTATACCAGGAGCCACAAGGCTCAAGGTTTCCCTGTAAGAAAAGGACACCTGTTCTTCCTTTTACAAAGTTCTCAGGAATGGAACTGAAAAAGGCTGAGGGACAAATCAGCCTTTCCTGCAGGTATTGGGAATACAGAATCATGAATTCTCAGAGCAGACTATGCTTAAGAACCCCTGGAAGCTCATTCCAACCCGGGAAGCTCATTCCAGCCTTTCACCAGCAGCCTTTGAACTTCCCACAAATGCTGCTGATCCATTCGGAGGAGTTGGCTCTCTCTACCTGAGGGAACCGTGGAGTGCTTCCAGGCGGCCAGGCAAAGGTTGGATAATGTTTCCAAGGGACACTTCAGAGTCCTGCTCACCCTACACCTATCTCCCTGCTATCTCTCCACCTCATTTTGGCCCTGAGTTGCATGCAATATTTTCATTCAAAATTTGTTACTTTGTTATTAAGTAGGTCCGCCTAAAATGATAAATTCAGTCCCCATGATTTGAGCTGGGTTTTACCAGAACGTTTAGGAATACACAATTGGGGGGTAACCATTAATTCAGTCTTTATGACAATCCTGGGGTCAACAGGCTATTAGTGTAAAATCACACACCCCCAACACACACAAAAGACTTTAGAAACTTGGGCTCTCACTCAGACTGTGACCATGAGCTCAGTGATTAGAGGCCAGCAAGGCCTCCGATTGTCACCTAGACAATAAACAACCAGCTGACTTGGCTCAGAAATTCTGTGTAGCCTTGGGGCCAAGCCAGATCATCAGGAACAAGCCACTTTCGGGTACCCAGCCCAGGGAAGGGGTGTTTCCCCGGCCCCAGCAGCATCTCTGGCTCAAGCCTGCTGCCCCAGTTCACAGCTGACTGGTACATCTCAGCTGACCAGCAAGAGGGCGGCCCCGAAAGCAGCCGGAGCAGGGGCAGCACCAGGGTTGGCGGGTCAGCAGGAGCAGCGGGACTGGGAAGCCACCTTTCGGACCCCTGATGGTCAGTCTGTGCACCTTGCTGAGGCCACCAAGCTCCAGCAGCCCTTTGACGGCCCCTGTCACCAGCCGCCTGCTCCAGAACTCTCACAGGCAACAAGTTCTCGCTTCAAGGCCCCGGGAGGCTCGGGAGGCCCGGCGCGAGGGGAGCGCTCCCGGGCTGCCCACACTTGGGGACCGCCCGCTGCCTTCGCCCCCTGGAGACCCCACGTCGGGCTGGCAGCCCCGGGGTCCCTCGGGTGGGAATGGCTGCCACTTCCCCGGGGCTGGGCCGGCAACAGGTCTGCGAGCGCACGGAGACAACCACCCCGACCCTGGTCCTCGCCGCTCACCTCCAGCAACTGCACATAGCTGGCCGGGAACCAGCCGCGGAGCCCATCGTCCTTCTCGCCTTCCCACCAGCCACCGTCCGGGACCTGCAGCAGTGTGAGCAGCTCGCCCGCGGCGAAGCGGAGCCCCTGGCCATGCCGCTCCCCGGAGAAGGGGTAGAGGGTCCGGCAGCGGGCGCCGGCCATGGCCTTGGCGCCCGGGCTCACAGCGCAGCCTGCATCCCTGCCGAGCCCCACGAGCTGACCGGAGGCTGCGCGGGGTCCCAGGCGCCCGGAGCTCGGGGCTCCCGCGCTCTGGGCGCGCGCCGTGCCTGGGGTGCGCCGGGGTCCCCAATCGCTCTGCCCGCTTGGAAGCGGACGCTCACTGACCGCGCTGGGCTCGCCGGCTGCGCTGGCCCTGCTGGCTCCCGAGAGCGAGCGGCGACGCCCCCGGGCCGGGCGGCTCTGAGATCCCCGCGCCGGGCGGGGGGCGGGGCTCAAGGGGAGGAGACCCGGGGGCCGCGGGCTCCCGAGACAACTTCCCGGGGACGCGGCTCGCGGGTTGCCGCTGCCAGGGCGGGCCAGGGATGCCTGCGCGCGCCGAGGGGCGCAGCTGCCCGGGGAGGTAGTACCCGGGGCATCCCCCTCGGCGGGGCTCGGCCAGGGCAAGCGGAGCCGGGAGGACGCGGAGGGCGGCTGGCAGCTGGTGGCCGGGCGGGGACTCTTCCCAGGAGACAGGGGCGGGTTGGGGGCCGGGCCAGGGCAGCCACGCCCGCCGAGGGCTGGGCGCTCCCTGGCAGAGGGGCTCCCCATCCCACCACCCAGAGCCACTGGGATGGAAACGCCCCTCGGTACCCAAAGACTCAGCCTGGTGGCCAGTGCTGGGCAGCGCCGCCTCCCAGGTGTCCGCGAGGGAATGTGTTTGTGGCTATCATTGTAGACTATGAAGCCTGGATGAATTTGACTCACAGGAAATTGAACAATGGGTAAAGACAGGTTTGAAGCCCGGCTCCGAAGCCAGGAAGCCCGGTGGCCGCGTGTCACACTGGAGGGACAGGACGCGGAGAGGAGATGTGGAGATGGAGACTGAGTTTGTACACTTGGAATCAGCTAAATGGAGGAAAGGCTAAACAAAGGTGAGAGGAATCGCCTCTAGCTTCGCACTGAACAGGTAGGAGGGCTCAAGGTCCACTCCTCAATTCTAGACCGGCCTGCTGAGAAGTGTTCACTCCTTTAGTCAGTCAACAAGTATCTGTAAGGTGCCTGCTGTGTTCCATGCAATGTAGGAAGGCTGAAGATCATTTGGATAGGACCCTGCCCTTGAGACACTTAAAGAACCTCAGGTGCTAAAAAAGCTGACCTTTAGAGTACAGAAGGAAAAAAAAGCACATTCCCTTGCTAGCTTAAAAATTATATTTCCTGGGGCTGGAGAGATGGCTCAGCGGTTAAGAACACTAGTTATTCTTGCAGAAGACCTGGGTACAAATCCCAGCACCCACATGGCAGCTAACAACTGTTGGTAACTCCAGTCCCAGGGGATCCGACAGCCTCTTCTGACCTCCACCGGCATTGTTAGGACACAGGTGCACTACTTACCTGCATGAAGGCAATACACGCATACATGTAAAATTAAAAAAAAATTTAAATTATATTTCCTAACTTATAAGTAGCTAGACCTTTTAATATCACTGTGGACAATCAGTTGAGCATCCCTAATCCAAAAATCTCAAGTCTAAAACAATCCAAAATCCAAACCTTGCAAATGCTTCCACTGTCAAAACATAACTGCAGCCCTGCATGGTGGCACACCTGTAATCCCAGCCTAGACTTGTGCTGAGCAATACATGTTTCATCTCAGTATGGGAGGCAGAGACAGACTGATCTCTTGTGAGTTTGAGACCACCCTGGTCTACCTAATGAGAGTCTATCTCAAAAGCAAAAGCAAATAAGCAAAAACAATCAAGTTATACTAGCAAGGCAGTCTGGAGGTAGCTCATTATGTTTATGCAAATATTCCAAACCCTGAACAATCTTGTCCCTAACTCTTGTGATAGGTATACACAACCTGTACTTGTAACTGCCTATTTGTTCCTCTTGTTCTGTGACCTTGTTTGGCTGATTCAGTTGAGCCTACTTCTCAGCAGTGCATTTTAGGCTTGCATATCCATGACAAAGCCTTAAATTCTTACATACCTGTCTGATTTTGCACAGGCCTTTCTTTCCCTAGCTAGTGGTTCTCAGTCTTCTCTCACATTAGCATACTCAGCCAGCCCCACCAGCTTTAAGGGTCATACCTGAGCCACAGCCTGCCCGTTGTCTTCTCACCAGATTATCAGCTGCCTGCTCCCCAGCCTGAGCAATTAACTAGCACACACTGTCTATAGTATTCCATCAGGCACAAACCTCTGCTTGGCCAGGAATCGTGGGGAACAAAGTCTTCACCCCAGCTCCATTAAAGTCCTGTGAAGGGCCGTGTGTGGTGGCACACATCTTTAATCCCAGCACTCAGGAGGCAGAGGATTTCTGAGAGTTCGGATCTCTGTGAGTTCGAGGCCAGCCTGGTCTACATACCAAGTTCCAGGCCAGCCAGTGCTCCTAGTAAGACTGTCTCAAAATAACAATAAAGAGTCCCTTGGAGCAGAGTTGCAGGTCTAGGGTTGTGGCTCAGTAGTAGAGCACCTGTCTAGTATGCAGAAAGCCTTGGGTTCTGTCTCCAGCCCTGTAAATCAAAATCCAAACTACCTGCATAGAAAACAGTTTGCTAAACTGGGTGTGATGGTTCATACTTGTAATCTACACACTCAGGAGACTGAGGCAGAGATTGCCACTGAGTTTCAGACCAGCCTGGACTACTTTGTGAGTTCCTGGCCAGTCTGGGCTACAGGGTATGAGTCTATCTCATAAAACAAAACAAAACAACAATGAAAACATTACTGAAACTAATGGGACTGACCAAATTTTAAAAGGATATGTTGTTTTCTACAGGTTGTCCCTTGGCTTCACATCTGATGATGTAACCTGGTTCAGGGAGGATTGAGTGGTTTAGGACCATTCTGCATGAAGAATTCTCTGTTGCACCCCATGAACTTAAGAAAGCTCAGTCTCTAGGACATTCTGAATACTTGGGCACCAAATAACTTGCCCCGGGCATTCCCATCCGATTGGTGAGGTGATGATGTTCCCAACTCAGAGGTAAAGAAACTGAGTTCAGAGGATATGACTTACCCAAGGTCATATGGCCAGCCAACCAACAAAACAGGGTTTTGAACTTGAGTTTAGCTTGTTGTGCATGAAATATTTTCTCTAGACCACCCTGCCAGAGTTAGGCCATGCAAGCCTGGGGTAGGGGTGGGGGGTGGGGTGGGAAGATCGCTCAGTGGTAGAGCACTAGCCCAGCATGGGCTCATCTCAAGAAGGCAATGTAGATCCTGGAATTCACACCCAGAAGCATCTTAAGGGTTTTCTGGATTCTCAGCACTTGGGAGTCTGAGGCAGAAGGATTTTGAATCCTTCCAGGCTGGGCTACATACTAAGACAAAGAGGAAAGGAGGGGAGGGAGGAAAAAAGGAAGAGGAAAGAGAAAGGAAGGGTTCTGTGGTGCAAGACTTTGGACGGAGACTGCTTGATACCCGGTATGGCATGTAGAAATAAAACTAGAGCCAGGTGTGGTGGCGTACACCTTTAATCCCCACACGTAGGAGGTGGAGACAAGTAGAACTCTGAGACTGAGGCCAGTCTGATCTACATAGTGAGTTCTAGGCCAGCTGGGGCTACAGGGAGACCATGTCTCAAACAACAACAACAAAATAGAGGTAGAACAGCCAGACATGGTGACACATGTCTATAGTCCCACTACTGGGAAGACTGAGGCAGGAGAATTGACTCCAGTTTGAGATCAGTCTGGTCTATATAGTAAACCACTATCTCCAAAGCACAGGGGTCTAAGGTTCAGTTGGTAGAGTGCTTGCCTAGCATGCATGAACCCCTGGGTTCCATTCCAACACCAAACCCCTATAATCCCAGTGCTTAGGAGGCACAAACAAGAGGATTACAAGTTTGAGATCAACCTGAGCTACAAGGTGAGACTCTCAAAAAAGCAAGGACTGCAGTGTTCAGCATATGCAAAGTCCTGGGCTCAATTTCCCACAACTCTCTAAAAGAGAAGGAAGGAGAGAAGGAGGGGGGAAGGAGAGTGGGAAGGAAAAATAAGTCTTCATAAAACCTTGTCCTAGCTGCCTAACAGCTAAATGTGGAAACAGCCCAATGTCTGTCAGTTCATACTAGACAAGATGTGGTGCTTCTAGCTACACAACATGCAGTGGAGAAGTTACTGAGCCTTGAACAGGATTGAAGAACCAACACACGTTCCAACATGGATGAACTTCAAAGTTATTACATGAAGGCTTCCAGATGGGAAAGGCCATGTATTCTATGATTCCTTTATGTGCACTATCCCCAGAGGATCCGTAGAGACAGTAAATAGATTGGTGGTTGCCGGGGGACAGGAGTAAGCAAAGGAACACAAGGTTTCTTTTGGGGTAGTGAAAATGCTCCAAAATTAGATTATGCTAATGATTGCACAACTTGGTAAATCACTGGCCTGTACACTTGAAACAAGTAGATTTTTGGAATGTAAATGACACCTCAAAGCTGTTAACATAAAATAAAAATAAATACAAATCAAGGCTCCCTTCACCCAGTAAGTACATTTTTCTCCACCTTTACACACTAGTTCATTCAGCAACAGCCCAAGGACCTATTGAGTCCAGGGTACAAGCCAGGCATGGTGGAACATGCCTGTGATGCCAGCACTTGGGGCCTGAAGCCAGAGGATCACAAGTTTGAGGACAGCCTGGGCTATGTTGCAAAATCAGGCCAACCTGGGCTGAAAGGCAAGACCCTGCCTCAAAATCAGAAACAATACAAGCATTAGAAATTGGACAATACCCTGAGGCTGGGGGATAGAGAGATAAATGAGATAGGTTATACAAAGAACAATAAGAAAAAGACGGGTGACTTTCTTACTCCATTTTGTACTGCTATAACAAAACAACTGAGGCTGGGTACTTTATAAACATAGAGGGATAGGTGGAAGTGGTGGCACACAACGGTAATCTCAACATCTGGGAGGCTGAGGCAGGATTGTTATGAATTTGAGAGCAGCCGATTTTATGTAGTTTTAGACCAGCCAGGGCTATATAGTGGAACTTGACTCGGAGGTGGGGGGCGGAACAAGGGAGGAAGTAGAAAGAGAACAAGGTGGTAACACAGGAAAGAAAGAGGGAGGGCAAAACAGGCTTACGTTGGCTCCGCTTTTCTCCGTGGTCAGGACACTGTGGCTGGCAGCTTCTGGTGAGGCAGGCCATGAAAGGATATGGGAGAGATGTCAAGCTGAGAGAGGGAGACAAAGAAGCCAAACCCAACTTACAGCAGCAGCTCAAGGTAACCAATCTAGTCCTGAGAAACCTGTCCTCCTCCAAAAATGTGTATTGGGGGCCAGGAAAATGTCTCAGCAGCTGATGACCTGAGGTTTGATACCGGGATGCACATGATAGAAGGAAGTTGTCCTCTGACTTCCCACTCTCACTGTGGCAAGCACAGCCCCCTGCCACCAAAAAATAAATGTATTTAAAAAATTAAAACGTGTTTCGGGCTGGAGTGGTAGCTCAGTAGTAGTGCACTTGCCTTGTATGCA